AGCTAGGGTCAGAGGAGGCACAGAGCAACGCATTAAGCTGTCTGTGGAAGCGTACGACAAAATTGTTGGCTGCTTAGTGATACGCTGCGGTATGAATACGGCAACAGTCTAAACATTTGCAGAACCTCTCGAATTGAAAAGTTTGGTACCTTGTTCCTCGGTCAGTTGTAATGGTGGATGGGCATCCGCCTGTCTAAGTTGGCCGGATAACAGCCACAGCTGTGCAGTCTGTTACGAAAATGGCTTCTGGCCATCTGGTGAAGAGGTCGACACATGTAGCATGTATACGGATCCGCGTGAAGAATTCAATAGACCTACCAGGTGTGTGTGCATGTGAGCACCGAGAGTCCGGGGCAGGAAAGGAACCAAGAGGACTGTGGATGTGACGAAGTATTTTAGAGCGCTGGTATTGAAAGCTGGCGCGAGCCTAGGTACAAACATCTTTGTGTACACGTGGCCAAACGAAACCTTCCATGACCAGATTCAAAGACGCACGGATACCGGGATGTGATAGCGAGTGGAAGGCGTCAACGACTGTGCTCCTGAAGGAGATGGGATCGTGGGGTCCAGGACAACCTTGGGAAGTGTCACAGAGAATGGTTCCTGCCGTGGTTCGGAGAAGAACACTTTGCACATACATCGAAGTGGACTGCAAAGTGCGCTATGCGTCTTCGTCATGAGCCTGAGCCGATGCCATGGCAACATGGTCCACTGTAGACAAAGACTGGAGAGTAAGGTTGATGCTAGAGCGCGTCGACGACGGGGTTGTCGACACCTGAGACATGACGTATTTTAGCAGTGCTCTGCATGACAACGTCTAGGTGGCTTGTTTCCCGTAGTGAATATTTGTCTCAATCAGAGTTGAAGGCGAATATGAGGGGCTTGTGATCAGTTTAGACCTTGAAAGCACGGCCTTCCAGTATGTGCTGGAAGTGACGAATGGCTAGTTAAATGACCAGTAGCTCTCTGTCCGGCGTGCTGTAGCGGGATTCCGCTGGCTGCAGGCGCTTGAAGAAAACCCAAGGGGTTTCCACTGTACTTCAACGTGCTGTTGGAGGATGGCAACTACAGCGACCTCTGATGAATCAGTCGTAATAGAAAGAGACGCGGTCGATTCGGAAGTAGCGCGGAGGACTATGTTGGAGATAGCATCTTGAGTTTGGCGAAGGTTGCCTGTGCTGTTTCAAGGAAAGCGAACTTACTTTTTTCCCGCTGCGTAGTTCTTTCGGAGGCTACGTGTGGGGAGCGCAGCGCGGAGTGAAGCGTCCATAGTAGTTGCGCAAACCACAAAACCGACGGAAGTGCTTGTACGAAGTCGGAGCTGAGCAGCCGTTGATTGCCTGAATCTTATCAAGATGGGCTTTGATACCAGACGATGAAAAGATGTGGCCTGGGAATTCTACCGTTGCTATGCCGAGTTCGTAATTAGTTGGGTTGACTGTGACACCGTGTTGGCTCAAGCGATGGAAGAGAGTGCGAAGATGCTCGAGGTGCTATTGTTCCGATGAACTGGCTACTAAAATGTTACGCAGGTAGGAATAAGCGAAGTCTGTTCCAGGAGGGATAGCTTGGATGTAGCGTTGGAAGGCTTGTGCAGAATTGCGCAGTCCAGATGGCATTTTTAAACATTCAAACAAGCCGAAAGGAATGATGACGGCTGTTTTAGGTTTGTCGTAATTTTCTACAGGTATCTGGTGATAGGCGCGAACCAGATGGTTCTTGCTGAAAATCGTCTTATATGTGAGGCATGTGGTAAGTTCCTGCATTTGTGGGTTGGGATACCTAACTGGGACGGTTAGCCGCTTAAGTGCGCGGTAAGCACCGCAAGGGTGCCAGTCACCAGATATCTTAAAGAACCATCTGCGGGGAGCGAGGACCAAGGGCTGTCTGAAGAGTGGATTATTCCAAGGTCAAGCGTTTTCCAATACTCCGACCTAGCTGCCTTTATTTTCTCGGGCGATGGCCGGCTTGGACGGCATGAGAAGGGTGGCCCATTCATTCGTATGTGGGGTCTGACTTGGGATGCCACGGGCAACGCTGCATTCGTTGGCCGAAAGAGCTTGGAATAATGAGAAAATAGGTTGGCGTAGCCTGGCGAGGTCTGAGGAAAGGCGTAGAATAGTGTTGTAGGTGTAAAACTGGCGGCGATGTCACGTATACGGAGGTTCGTAGCTGTGTCGACTAATAGCTGGCGGTTGGCATCGAGCAAGCGGTCGCAGTACCCGAGAAACTCAAGGCCGATGATGGCAAAGGGTACAGCTGACACGGCGAATACTCAGCAGAACCTGCGCCGAAGACCTAGGTCTAGGGTAAGAGACCGATGACGTTAGGTGGCTATTGGCATGCCATTGGCGGCACCTAGGCTTGTCGACAAAGAAGCGGTGGGCTCACCTGGTATAGGGGAATGACGCTGACTTCCGCCCCGATATCAACCAAGCACGGGGTCTTCGGAAGCATGCTCCCTAATGTAGGTGAGACGACTATGGGCTTTGCCGAGACCGTTACTAGCCAGTTCAGGAAGCACCGGCAGATCAACTTTGGCGGGGTAGCTACATGGCTGTATGCACCCACTGGCGTTATTACCGCAATGCAAGTGATAAAAGCAGTAACCTGTGTTATCAGGTTTTGTGCGAGGGGGTGATGATCCAGAGGTGCTGCGGTACTTACGGTTTAAGGCGAATTCCTCGATTTGGCGCTGAAACGAGACCATATGCGAAGAGCGTGCGCCTATTACCGACGGCTGGCTAGACGCGCTTGTCGTTGTGGTTGCGCAAGAACGAAGCTACTAGGTGCTTGTGTTTTAGTCAGTGGCTTGTGCGTTTCGATGACGTGGTCAGCTAGATCTGCGATTGCTGTGAGTGGCAAGTCAGTCGCTACCGCAAGGGTAGCCTGGGTGCTCTTAAGAGGACGTTTTGTCCACAGCTCGCGGCGAAGCCATACGTCCATATTGGATGCGCCCATGAGCTGCTGCATTGCGCGCAACAAGGCTGAGGGCATCCTATCTCTTAGTCGCAAATCACTGTATAGTTGCTGCAGACGGGCCATGTCAGCAGGCGTGATTCGCCGAATAATAGCCTCGTTTAAGATTCTCATATTTCATTACTCGAGGGGGCTAAGGAGGATATCTCTCACCTGCACGATATTAGCTGATTATACATGGCGAAAGCAGAAGAAATCCTACGAATGCAAATACGGCTTCTAGACGCAAAACCACAAGGAAGGATCGTTCTCCCAAATGGTGCAGGGGCTAACGCAACAGAACTGACCATGACGGGCTCAACGATGTCAACCGCGTATGGACGTGGCTCATTTTCTAGATAATCCAATGCAAAAAGCTTGTTAAAAGGTGGCATGGAAGAAAACAATATGATCACAAGTAATAACTCGGAAAACCACTGGAACCAGCTCACCAATGAAAATGAAAAATGGCGGACGGTTAATTCTGGACGCAGTCGGAATTCTGGATGCAGTCGGAATTAATGGCACGGAAGAGCGGTGCAAACTACAGGGGAGTATAGAAGTTGGAGGCGACAAAACTTAACACGTATTGTGCAGGCCATAAAAACAGGTATCGAACCAACCAGTGCGAGAAATAGTGAAGCAAGATACTCACATAAAGGCTTTTGCGTAAAGGATGTGCAGTCAGTAAAATAAGGGGATGTTTTGATGTCTTAAACAACCGTAAACTTCAATGTTGCAACAAACCGGAAGAACGTGTTTTCCAGGACACTACAACATGCAGTGGGTTGTTGTCAACCGGTATCGATTTCCTGTTTATTGTATGGGAGGGAACAAGATCAAGCAAAGCTTATAATCATCTACTAAGACTGCCATAACAAATTAAAACTGTAAGGTGTGCGGGGGTAATGTCAGGCACCTCCGACACAGATTAGCGTATTTTGTCTATCGAGTGAAAGAGGCAGGTAAGTAAAAACCCAGAAAATGTCAAATTCGCCGTAGAACTAAGCAACTACGTCCAGTCATTTTGGGCCCACGAGGCGAAAACAACGAGAAACGTTACGAGGCAGATGTAATACTTCGATCGTTACAGCAACAGACTGCCGCATTTCAGTAAGGAGAATATTTCACGAGCTGGTCTATCTCGTACATCGTATTCCCTAGGCAGCGCACATTTTTTGCACGACTGAATTCATTCCCAATGTACAGCTAAAATGTGATAGGTACCAGAAAAGAAAAGTTTTAGGCGACTCCACGCAAAAAATAAAAGCATCCGCTGTAAAAATATTCCGAACCACTTACTCGTAACACTTGGTTAACTATCGTTTACGAGAATTTGTAAGCCGTGGATGTTTGATAGGACGAGAAATCACCAAAATTCTGCATATTAAACGGGCATAACAAAGGCTTTTTAAACCAATCTAGGAAAAATACACATGCCACTTGGCATCAGAATATAATCAAAGATTTATTGACAACCATTTACGTCGAATTGGTAAGGTAAAAGCGTTTTCTTAATGAACTACATCATATATATGTTGACCATCCAGGAACCATATATTTACATTAAAGAAGGTTTTATGCCGTCCGTCTTCTATAGCAAGCTGAATGTTACTATAGAATGATTGCAGCACAGGAAATTCCTTACACCAAACGTTACCAAGGCGTGAATTTCAAAATAGAATTTCCTTACGGAGGAGCCGTTTGAGAACAGGATGGCGGGTTAAGAAAGATAAAATTAACATATGCTTAGTACAGCCAAGCCTAAGAACCAGAAACACTTCGCAACAACATACAGATTAAAAAACTATGTATAACATTTTCAGAACACTTAATAATAACAGCAGTAATGAAGAAAATGTGGCTTTAACTTTGTAGTCACAGTGCTGAAAAAATGTGTGCTTACACAATTTAGTAACTACAATTTGATAAGGCATCGCCGCTGATTAACGGAAACGTATGATAAAATGTGATTGTATGTTACATACGCATCGTCGACTGCGAAGAAATAGATTCACCACGGGACTACACTTGGCAGTCTATACTCTGTGATTACTACGCGGTAGCTCGATTTTTTGGCGTGTCATACTGATCAAGCTTTATAGCTACAATATTGTGCAGGACAGTGTTTGAATGAACACTAGTAACGTAATTTGAGTATTTAAAATTTCCTCTGATCCAAGTCACCTTAGATCGATTGAAGCGGTTCTGGTCAAAGTGTCTTTGGCGCCTACTGGTAATTACTACGGCTTTTCCTGGTTTTAATCTCATTTTGCACTGTTTCTGCCTTTTTATTGAGGCCGTTTAACTGTTGTATACGTGTTATATTTCCACTCTGTTTCGCACTGTTTCTGTTCCGCAATGCTCCGAGGCTGTTGTTCCTGGTGGACTGAATTCTGAGGTTATCGCACTTTTTGTTATTCCATACTGCAGTATACCAGCAAATGACGATTCCGGCGGTATGCAGTGCGATGTCTGTAGCCGATTGTAACACCAACTTTGTACGGACCTAAATACCGAGCAGTACGCAACGCTGGCCTCCAGCGAGTTGTTGCCTATCAGTTGTGCCAATTGCTGTATCCGCAGGCAAGGCCGCGCGGCCTTTCCTACGTGAGACGAATCTTTTGATAGCCGGCTGCGAAATGTAGGGCGTTCATTATCGATGCTCTAAAATCTTCGCCTTAAGATCGATCTCGACGACGCTTCCGATTTCGTACAACGCAGCTTTGATCGCTTACACTGGAGATCAACTTGTGGCACCAATCATTATGTCATGTCCAGATGGCTACCGACCACAAAAATGAAATTTCTTCGGCCGTCCTATCTAAAGCTACTCTGATTGACGCCGAATTGCTGGTTCAAGGGTCCCTTCGGGTAAAGCGAAAGAGAGCCAGGAAACCCCGTAAGCTCTTTACTAAACTAGAAGTTAAAGTTACCTCGGCACCGGAAACAAGCCAAATAACGTTACTTGTCAAACCGTCTGACGGTTGTGCGAAGGCGAAGATTCCAACACGCACTACTTGTCAGCCGAAGTTGTCGGATATCTCGGTTCTCACCGGGAAGGCATGTTCTGAAGGGTTGCTTGCGAAAATGAGTCACGGGACCTTGCTTCCAGTGTCAAGAAGAAAAAGCAGACCAAATATGCCATAACGCCTTTCGGTGGAATCGACGACCCGAAAAAGTAAGACTTCGACAATGGAGCGAAAAACACGCTGCCGTTGCTACGTCATCGGAGGGGCTAAAGACCATCATATCACCAGTGGTGAATCCACCTGCTCCAAGTGTCGAATCAAAAACAGTGGGGTTACTACACTCCGTCATGGCGATTCCTTCACGGATAGTAGCGTTATATTCCGTAACGCGGCTGAATCTACTGCTTTCCTGCTGATCTCATGTTGGACAATTTTCGGTGGTTTACAATATGCGTAACGAAGCTTCTTCCGCCTGGTTTTCCAGGCGTTACTGTCAGGAAGCTGATTAGACTGGGGAACGTCCCAGTTAATGTACCAAACCCTCGACCGCGGCTACTTCGTGTTGTACTCACTACACCGGAGGAACGCAGCGCTCTCATGCGGTTTACGTTTAAGCTGAAAAGTACAAATATTAGCGTTCAGCCGGACCTTCCGCTGGCCGATAGGCTGAAGCATTAGGGAGGCCATCAAAGACCTCAGAAGCAGGCGAGCGGCCGGTGAACGGGGTCTCCAGTTATTGGGTTTTCGGGTGGTCAGCCGGCGGTCCTTTTCCGCCCTACCACTGCCCATTCTGCTAGCGCACGACTCAGGTCTGGATCTAACGAATACCTTCAGATAGTGTTAAGTAATGTGCGCAGCCTAAGGAATAAGGTGTACGAGTTAGGTCAGCTTGTAGATGGGTCTCATCCCGATATCTCTCCCGATATATTCACTGAAACGTGGCTATCTCAAGACACCACGGATGGTGAATTACATCTATCTGGTTACGCACTATTTAGACGCGATCGCTCTGCTGGCCGACAGGGTGGGGGTGTCGCTCTTTATGTGAGCTGTAAACTTGATGTTTTGAAGATTTGCTTATTCCAATCGGCAGAAAAAGCTGTTGAAGCTCTGTCGGCTGTGATTAGCATATCCTCGGCTCAGGTTACAGTTGTAATTGTGTATAAAAGCCCTGGGAGTGTATCCAAAGAGGTACTTCACTTCATTCGCTCCCAGTCCGAAAACAATTGTTTGGTGATGGACGACTTCAAGCTCCCAGAGGTTTGCTGGGCAGATCTTTCTTGCGGCTCAGCGTCAGGCACATTCGGCACTGATCTGTTTGAGTTTACGCTCCAACTATCTTTTCATCAGTTCATTGACCTCCCCACTAGGTACATGGACACCCAAGTACCATCTATCTTAGATCTTTTATTTGCTAAGTCACTGGAGTTTGTTGGTGGCATTACTTACGGACCTCCACCCAATTCCAGTGATCATGTTTGTTTGTTCTTCAGTTATACTCTGTCTAGACGCTACCAGAGTTCTGTTGAGTCTCGCCCGAATATATGGCGCGCAGACTATCAGTCAATGAGAGCCAAGGCTTCGGGTTTTCCTTGTGAGATCTCAGACGACGATACTGTCCAGGTTGCCTGGAATAAATTTAACTCCTACCTTACAGAGTCACGAGAAACGATGAACGAGCATAGCCGCCCTGGATAGATCCCACTGGCAGGCATCTGCTCACAAAGAGGTCTAGATGTTGGCGGACTTACCGAGATGCTCCGTCCACCTATACTTATGACAGGTACCGAAAGGCTAGAAATAGGTGTAAGAAACACCTAAGGGATGCTCGGCTCAATTTCGAGAAGGGGTTAGCGGACGAAGTTTTAGAGAATACAAAAAGATTCTTCGTTAATGTCAAAAGGCGCTGCGGTTCGAACATGTCAGTTGCAGTTTTGATGCGTGATGACGGTACTCATGCGCATACGGACTATGGTAAGGCCTGCGTACTTAGTGGGCAATATGCGGCAGCGTTTGTAAGGGAAACCTTTTTGACAGGCGTTGAGCTGGTTTGCAGGATCCCAGAGGATTCAGGACTATCTGAATTTATTGTAACGGAGACGGAATTTCTTAAGCTATTACAAGGGCTGAACCCTTCTAAGGCCTCTGGGCCTGATTTAATTCACCCAAAACTGTTGCATGAGTTAGCTGCGGAAATAAGTGGACCGCTCGCTATAGTGTTTCGGAAACCGCTTGACAGCTGTGCATTTCCTTCCGAATGGAAGAAAGCTATCATCTGTTCCATCTTCAAAAATGGGGACAGGAGTCTGCCTGTAAATTACAGGCCAGTTAGTCTGATGAGTATAGTAGTAGTCAAACTCCTCAAGAAACTGGTGAGAGATTCATTGGAGAGACATCTGAGTAGATTTAACCTACTTAGCAATGTACAACACGGATTCCGGAAGGGATTTTCGTGTCTGACGAGTCTGCTGGTGGCTCGCGAAAGTTGGGCGGATGCAGTGGATAACGGCCACGCATTGGACGTGCTATTCGTCGACTTTTCGAAGGCATTTTTCAAGGTACACCATTTAAGGCTCACGCAAAAGCTCACCTACGCGGTATCTGGCCGCGCCCGTCATTGGGTGACTGCCTTCTTGGAGGGTAGAGAACAGTGTGTACGGGTAGACCGGGGCCTATCGTTTAGGCAGTCTGTCCTCAGTGGCGTGCCGCAGGGCTCCATCCTTGGACCGCTGCTGTTCTCTATCTATGTGAACGACCTACCCGCGGAGCTTGAGGTACCATCGCTGCTATTTGCTGATGACCTGAAGCTGTGGAACATTGTCGATGTTCCTGGGGGTTCCGAAGCTAGTCAGTGAACATTGGATAAACTTTGGGACTGGTCTACTTTATGGTTACTGCCCATAAATCAGGCGAAATGCTCCGTTCTTCGAATTAAAGGTGGTTGTCCTCCTGCGAAGTACTTGGTCGGTGGGGTCGGACTCCCCATGTATCTAACCAGGTTGACCTAGGCGTCGTACACTCTTCGGCTTTACACTCCGGAGACAACTGGAAGAAGGCCGCAAGCAGAGGTTTCCGCATGTTGTGGTTAATACGACGTTCTTTCGGGGTCTTGACAGGTGGCATCTTTACGAGACTGTTCTCGGCTTTCGTTCGGCCTCATCTGGAATACTGTGTCCAGGCTTGTCCGCCTTGCCTCGTCCGGGACAAAATGGAGCTAGAGAGGGTTTTACGAGTGGGTACTAGGTTAGTCGAGGGATTACGTGGACGGACTTACCCCGAGCGTCTACTCAGTTTGGGAATGCATTCAATGCACTACCGAAGTCTTAGAGGAGACCTAATTCTAACCTACCGTATCTTAACTGGGAAGGTTGGTCCAGATTTATCTGGGCTATTCAGTCCCGCCAGATTATCCGACGCGGTCATTCCCTGAAGCTGGACAAACCGCGGTCCGATCGGATTAGGGCGGAAATCCGTCTGTCACGCAGTCATCGAGCGTTATAACATGCTTCCGGAAAGTGTTATCAGGGAATATACGGTTAAGGGGTTTGAGCGACAACTTGAGGCTTTTGGGTGGCAACACGAAATCTTTCTATTTTTCTGAGTAACTCGCATCTTCGTACTTCGATTCTCTTTTCTCTACTTTTCCTCACGCATTGGTATTATTTTCTTATTTCAAGTGCACTTCCTTATTCTGTACTTTCGATTTCTCATTCTATCCTTTGCTTACTTCACGTGACTGCCACAGCAGGGACTGCTAGGGCAGGAAACGTGGGCATTAACTGGTTGGCCAGGGTGCGATACAGGTTTTCGGTTTTAGGTCCATTAATAACTGAGCACCTCATCAATTTCTGGCTCAACGATCTACTCAAGATGGAACACTCATGGGATTCTCCTATCGTTCCAGTCCCATCTGAATTTGAACTTGACATGTATTTGACTTTTCTCTGCGTGTATAGTTGTGCAGAAAGCAGCATGATTCAATCCAACGTCAAAGTGCGGGGGCCGCTTTTTACTTAGGCGTTAGGTACCCTACCTACCCATTTTCTGGCGTTCCATACTGACCGAGCTTTTTAGCTGAAATATCGTGGAAATGTTAAAATAAACACTTGAAACTATTTGACTATAATCAGATTTTCTCGTATCCAAGATATCTTGAACCGACTTGCGTGTTACTGGCTAAAATGTAGTAATTTTTCGTTTTCCCAATTTTACTCCTGTTTTTCGCCGTCTGTTTTTTATTGTGGTCGCTTTACTTTTATATACG